GAAACAGGAGCATTTACACGCTCCTGACAAAAGAGGGTTTAATACACTTTAAAAATTTATATAATAGGTAAACTATGATTTCACTGCTTATCAAGGTTGGTAAGGTCTACTACACAGATGAAACATATTCGCACTTTGCATGGTACAAAACAGGGTTTGGTCTTTAAAAGCAAGACTGGATGAAGCCCAAAGTAGAAGGTACAGTTGTTTTACAGTACTAGAGTTGCCAACATATTTGGCACCTCTCTACAGTTAAAAAGGCATCCAATGTTTGTCTGTTTACGTTAAGCCTAAATAAAAAAAGAATGAATATTTATGATCCAGTAGGCATATTTTTGGAGACTACTGCTAAAACTCATTCAATAGTTGAGCTGGAGCTGCATGACTGATACTTGAGAAGCTGCCAGTCCATTCAGTTAGTGAGAAGAAGCTGGGATCTTCCCCATGCAGAAATTGGAACAGAGGGAAGGCTAAAATTAAAGGTAGCATAGAGATGTGCGAGAGAGGGTAAACAGGGATCTACTACATGCAACTGGTCAGAGGAAAGCTTCTGAAGAGGAAAGAGAGCAGGACTGAGATCATCACACACAGTGTGTGCAGTACTCCAGCTATATGCCTCCTCTTCTTACATCCCTGGATGAAGGAGATCAGAACTCTTAAGGTAATTTAAAGATTACTACTTCCCTGTACTGGAAATGTGCACTTGAAAAGACAGATACACAATGGAATTGTATGCATTGTTTATTCATGTAACATGGCCCTAATGCACAAAAGATTAACATTCAGTGAATAATAATGTAGTCTTATTCAAAGAAGATACCCCAACTGTAAACTATAACTTCTACATCCGTTGCACTGATGTCACTTTTTATTTATATATCTTTAGAGAAGGTATGACTTTATAATGAATCCATAATGATGACATGACCACTTACTATCAAACATAAAGTGAGTAGAGGGAACTAAGCAAAAAACAGGAATAAAGGGTCTGACCCTCTATGGAATGGTGGGAAAGCTCTCATGGTCAGGCCCAAGGGGATTGGGTGAGGAGGGTGTCAGAGATTAGGCACCAGTACCTGCAGCTATTATCCTGTCTGTGCATGATTCTGGAGGTCTCACATTTCATCTTCCTCTTAGTCTCTAATCACAAACGCCTGTGGTTTGGGGGTCCCATATACACCTGCTATTTTACCTTATTTTCCAGTTGTGTGATATTTACCCTGCAGAATAAATAGATCATTCACTTTCCTTTACATCACTCATACCATCATGCTATCTGCTTTCTGCTCATTTGTTATATACTGTTTGAGCAGCAAGTCTGACTATTCTAGAAATGTATGTTATCTATTTAACATGACAAATATGGAGATTATAATGCATTTTTTTTTTCTTCACATTTTAGACAACAGTATTTATTTTAATTGGATATATTGTATTTCAAATTAATATTTTTTACTTTAAAGTCTAAATTTACCTTTTTTTTTAATCTAAAATCCAGCTCCCCTATGCACCAATATACCATTAATGTACCTCAGTTGCAAAAATATAAAAAAATATACAAGCTTTCTTTAATCTGGAGAACAATGCCTTAACTTAGCAGTTGGTAAATTTCTTAGAAAGCTTTTTCACTTCCTGGAATGTAGACAGAGGGCAGAGGAGGCAGTAAGACCTGGAAGCAGATTACCAGCTGATCTCATTAGCACACACCCTTCACCCATCAACTATTTTTTCACAGCATCCCCAGGAACTCTCCTCATGTGCATTTGCCTGGCTACCCCAGCGTCTCTACAGATGGGCTCAGGCTGCATGCTAAAACTCCCTGGGCCCCCAATTCAGCCCACAGGACACCCCTGATGTAATGCAAGGGCCTGCTTGATTGGATGCAGAGTAGTTTGATTGATGGTGTATCCTCCTATTATAAAAGTTTGGTAAATATAAAGGAGATCTTACTGAGATTGTACAATTAGATTGTATAGTGTATGGCCACATTTATACACCTACAATTAAATAGTTGAACTTTCAGTGTCATTAATTGTTAACAGCACACCAAACACACAAACACACATGTTGCCACATGCCAAAAAAAGGGTGAGAAATGCAACAAAAGCACATGCAGCACACGCCATGCCAAAATGTCCCATGAGCTTCTTTGCGACGTGAAGCACAGCCCATTGAAATCAATGAGCTGCCCTATGTGTATCACTGGTAAAACAAGCCAGATAGCATGCGCTTCCTCTACTCTCTGTGTGAAAGGGGCCTGAGAGTGAAATTGGGTTGTTTACACAGAACAATGAGGCTCCATTCACATCTGTGTGTTTCTGAATGCATGGCAAACTGCACAGAAAATGCGTGCTTTGCCATGTGTTTCAGAAACACACTACAAATGTGCATCACGTTTGTGTGTTGTCATTACATGTTAAAGGCATCCCAAATGCGGCAAACACACCATGCGCCACTCCAAAAAAAGGTCTAGAGCTTTTTTGCGGCGATTGTTGCGTGTATGGCAGCCTGTTCAAGTGAATCGGCTGACCTATGCATGATGAGTGAAAACGCTCCAAAGCACACAAAAAAAATCAAGTGGTAATATGACTTTTCACTATGTGGACCAACTGAGTGTCTCTATCCACTCCCTCCTATGTACTTGTATAAAGATGAACATACACTATGCGATCTAATTGTGCAATCTCTGTAAAATGTCCTTTAGATTTAACAGAACTATGGAATAAGAGGACACACCTGAACCATCTATTCAACTGGTATCAAATCAGACAGGGCCTTGTACTACATAGCTAATGGGAGGAAGGTAGTATTGTAATGAGGGAGGTGTGGTCCTGAGTGGTGAACACACCCTATCACACACTCTTCTGTGATGTAACAAGGAAGTGAAGGCTTCTGGGAGGTGGGCTACAGGAAGTGAATGCTGAGATATCATCGACAGGAAATGATGCAATCTGAAAATCAGTTCAAAATCTCACATAAACTGACAAAAAAATTAAATGAGGTACAGTAAGTGAGAAAGAAGCACGTTGGGATGGATGAGCCAGAAATGGCATTGGAAAACGCTTCTATTTATTATGAAAAGTGAAATTCTGCCTGAAAAGGTGAACTTATCGTTTAAAGAAAAGAAGCTATATTTCATTTTACTACAATTTCTCAAAGGCCAAAACTTGTAGATACAACAGGAAATGGAAGGAAAAGTGAAGGAAATGCCCATTTGTTGCTATTGGGAGAGTTACCATCTAGTATTTTCCTCATTTTTAGTTCCAGGAACAACTGTCACCAGGACAAATATAGATGGTGGATCACCCCAATGAGGCACAGACAGCAATACAAAATCCACATGGGGTTTTAATCTATCTATGCTCCATATACAAAATCAGAATAATAGAACATTTTTGAATTTAAAGAACATCTCCACCTAAATCAGATTTAGTAATTTTGGGTGGAGTGTGGTTTGGGTGTAATCCCTTACTGAATCTATATTACGCAATTCTACAGCTAAGATGGCCATTAGAGAATGAAATCATCCTGTCAACCAGGCTACTTATAAGAGGGTCACCTAGTGTCCAGGTTGTTAAGCCAATTCCTAAACTGAGGCCCACAGTTTAGCTTTGCAAGGCTGGCGAGTTGAGGCTTTGACTCCTCACATCAGTTCTATGCACACATAGAATCTTAGTATTTCTTGAGCCCTAGGCCTGGTCAGGAATCATTAATTACACTTTTCTCTTAAGGCCTCAAACTCCCAGTGGTTACAGGTCTAGTCTATAGGGGATTCTGTCCAACACCTGAGGACCATAGGAATGAGTTTCTAGATTGCCATCGTCAACAAACCAGCACCTACTCCTGACCCAAACTGGTTGCTAGATTACTCTTTCACCTTAGGTATTGGCTGTACTGTTTGTCACGGAGACCTTACAACCAGTGCAGCATATTTACCAGCAACATCACTCATCACACCAAGCTGTTGAGAAATGGTAATTAGCCAAGTTTCACTTCAGATTATCTTAGCTGAACACATCAACAAGGCATTTTTTGATTTAATGTTTCTTTTACTGATCCATAAAAGAGTTTACAGGGTATACAGCAATTTAAAGTTTATGTGCTATAGTCCAAAAGCATGGAAAGACAAAGTCCAAACTTGTGGTACAGTTTCAAAAACACGGCTGCCAAATTTTCACAACTGTTCCAATCGGTCGAGTATCTTAAAAGTGATGCTCATGGTGCTGTATCAAAAGGACTGCTCCAAACTTCACTCTCCCCAATTTCTTTTGTTCACCCAAAGCCTACCTGAATACCCCAAAAGGGAATGCCTGCTAGTCTCTCCATTGGTTCATCTCTACTCCATTGGCAGGCACTTCTTTCCAGCTCTTCTCTGCCTGTAAATAGAACATGACCGGTCCTTTCCCCCTGACAGACAGGAGACTATCCAGTAAGGCAACATCAGCTAACAGGGAATAACCCCCTGTTGCATACTCTGTTTTCAAAAATAAATTTCTCAGTATAATCCTATGGGGAGTCCATCAGTAGCTCAACTGAAAAGCTGAGGTAAGTCTGTCACAGCTGTTTTAGAAGTTCGGAGAGATCTCCCATACAGAAGTACAGACCTGGTGGAGGTTCAAAAACTATCTCACTTCATGCAAGATAGAGCAATATATATTGGGTGGCATTGTTCTTTAAAATTTCTGCTTAACATATGCAAATTAAAATGTGTTGAATGTTTTAGGTACACTCTAAACTTCTGTATCATTAATTGTGTGCCGTACACTGTGAATCTTGTGAATAGTTGACAACATAAAAGCTACAGCATTTTCACAGAGAGTACTTTCATAACTTACATGGACATTTTCAATTATGTGAGTCAATTTGCGGTAAACTTCTTCACATAATAGCAAAGATTCATATCCCCTTCTTCTAAATTCTGCTCCATATGTGCAGGATCCATTCTGTTCAGCAAAGGATGATTTAGGAGTTTATGGTTCACATTTGTCTTTTCATTGCAGTTCCTGATATGTGGAGTGTGCGGCATCTTCTGTGCGAAAAAGAAATCTGGACTCATAGTAAGTGCCGCTGTTTGAAAGCATGGTTATAAAATAAGTAAATTAAACTGTAGTTAACTTTTAAATGATGCCTGCAATAACCATGCAGAATTAGACAATATTAATCCACCTGCCAAAGGAAGAATTGTGTGGCATAAAAGAATAATTTTACCAAAACTGTAAACACAATAATACTTTCAGTACTGAAGCACACTATGAAATAGAATGTTTATAACTAAAAGAAGAAATTCATGTACTTAATAAAATATAGTAAAAGTGTGCCTGTTCCAGAGTGGGCAAAGTTGGGGATGTTCCAAGCAATGCTAGAGAAGTGTTATATACAGGAGTATCAATAAGATGTAAAAAACACAATTTTGTTGTGAACAAAATAAGGACATTTTCTATGTGCAAGAGGAGCACTGGAGGCAGGAGAAAACCTAGGTTAGTTACTACCTGAGGTGGCTGTTTTTGCTGACACCCAGGTTGCCAGGTCGCTGGAACAGCAACCTATGATACTGTGGCTGGGCCAGCAGATGCCTGTGTCATAACAACTTATGTCATTATGACATCCTAGCAACCTGCTCAATTACACTGGTCTTATGTACACTCCAGCCTCAATGCTACCCCCATTGAGTGTCTCCTTACCGTATCTCATTGGCATCATGCCCCTGGAAGGAGGGTATGACAGCAGGCAATATCTGTAGAACAGAACTGTTAAAGGGTATGACAGTGGGCAGTACCTGCAGGGCAGAAGTGTTAAAAGGTACAACAGAGATTGGTATCTGTAGGAAAAGCATGTTAGAGGGTATAACAGTGGGCAGTATCTGCAGGCCCGGAGTGTTAGATGGTATGACATTGGGCTGTTCTTGCAGAAAAGGACTCTTAAAGGGTATAACAAAGATGTATCTGTGGTGCAGGAGTCTTTTAGGGTATTACAGAGGATAGTATATGCAGGAATGAAGTTTTAAGGGTATGGCAATGGGCAGTAGCTGCAAGACTGGAGTGTTAGAGGGTATTACAAAGGATAATCTCTACAGGACAGGCCTGGAGTGCTGGAGAATATGACAGTGGGTACTATCTACATGATAGGACTGGAGTGATAGAGGGTATGACAGTGAGCAGTGGTGCAGAAAGCTTAGGTAATTCCCCCCATAATATCTAAGGGTGTCCTTCACCAAGATAAAAATCAGCTATTCAATAAGTGCAAAGAAAATAGCTAACAATGTTATGTTTTGTAATTTCAGCAGCTCCTAATTTGTATGCAATATTTTTTTATTTAGACTTGAGTTGTTTTTAAGTGCTATTATTACTGACCTTTATATGTTCTCTGGCAATATAAGGGGTAGCTGTTATTTTTTGAGCAATGCACAGATGTGTTATTATATTTCATGTTTTTCACCTTCTAGATGATTCTTTTTTCTGCCTGCTGCATCTGTGGACTCATTGGAGGCATCCTGAACATTCAGTTCCTAAGAGCTCTGTCCAAGAGGTCCTCCTTGCATCTTGCCTCCTTGTCCCTTGCATGTATAGGCATCAGCGGATGCACCATCTCCACTTGGCTTACTTGCCGCTTGGCCAGTTATGAGCAAAGGAGAATGTTTCTAGAAAGAGAGCACTCACTTCATCACTCTCATGAAATGACAGAAAAGGTAATGAAATATTAGATCTTTGATAGCTGCATTAAACAATGCTCTGACAAATTCCATTTGTTGTATTAAATATGGGGTAAGTGAAAAGTGCTCATTTATTACTTTTTACTCCTCAGAAATTAACAGCTGGAATCAGAATGGTTGCTGCAAACAACTTGATAGCTTTCTTTTCCTCTTGTTTTTACACCTCTCAACCTGGATATATCATGACAATATCAGTGACAGATAAATAAACAAATAAATGCATAAATTATTAGGTACTTATGCTCATGACACCGGCGATCTGGATGTACTTTGATAGATTAGATGTGGGTATCAAAACACACACACACACAATGTATATATATATATATATATATATATATATATATATATATATATATATACATATATATACATGCACACACACACAGTATGTACCATTTTTAAAGAGAACATGAGTGAGCAGGCAAAACACATCTCTATTATTTCTTAAGGGATTCATATTCAACTGCAGGTCATAACAGGAAGGCACAATTATAAAACAAAACATGGCAACAAGTAAACACATGAAATGATCCCTGTTCAAAAGTCTGCATACCCTTCGTTCTTACTACTGTGTACTGACCCCTTTAGCAGCAATCCTTTGTAATGGTTGTCTATGAGGCCCTGAATTCTTGCAGGTGGTATAGCTGACCACTCATCTTGGCAAAATGCCCCCAGGTCCTGAAAATTCTTTGGTCATTTGCATGCACCACACAGTTGAGATATCCTCAGAGTGGCTTGATGTTATTGAGGTCAGGAGACTGTGATGGCCACTTCTTTACCTTTTTCTGCTGTAACCACTGGAGGGTCAACTTGGCTTCATGCTTAGGGTCATTGTCCTGCTAGAAAGTCCAAGAGTGTCCCATGCACATCTTTTATGCAGAAGAATGCAAATAGTCTCCAGTAATTTATGATAACATGCTGCATTTATTTTGCCATCTATTTTGACAAAATCCCCCGTGCCTTTAGAGCTCACCCCTCCCAAAACATCAGTTAGCCACCACCATGCTTCACAGTGGGGATGGTATTCTTTTAGCTATAGACTGTGTTGAACCCTTTCCAAATGCAACGCTTGTGGTTGTGACCATAAAGCTCTATTTGGGTCTTGTCACTCCAGATTACACTGTGCCAGAAGCTGTGAGGCGTGTAAAGGTGTTGTTGGGCATATTGTAACTGGGCTTTTTTTGTGGCATTGATGCAGTAAAGGTTTCTTTCTGGCAACATGCAGCTTATTTTTGTTCAAGTATTGTCATATTGTGCTCCTTGAAACAACCACACATCTTTTTCCAGACCAGCCTGCATTTCTCCTGATATTACCTGTGGGTTTTTCTTTGTATACCAGACAACTCTTCTGATAATTTTGGCTGCAATCTTTGTGGGTCTGCTTGACCTTGGCTTTGTATCAAGAGATTCCCTAATTTTCCACTTCCTGGACTGACTGAACAGTAATTACTGGCATATTTAAGGCTTTGAATATCTTTTTATATCCTTTTTCATCTTTATAAAGTTCCATTACCTTGTTATGTAGGCCTTTTGACATTTCTTTTCTGCTCCTCATGGTTCAGTATCTAGTTTGCTTAGTGCACCCACATGAGAGCTAACAAACTCATTGACTATACACAGACACTAATTGCAATGTAAAAAGCCACAGATGTGGGAAATTAACCTTTATTTGCCATTTTAACCTGTGTGTGTGTCACCTTGTGTGTCTATATCAAGACCAAACATTCCAGGGTAAGTAAAGTTTTGATCATGGCCATTTGGGTGATTTCTGTTAACATTATGATTTAAAAAGGAGCCAACATAATAATGATAATAAATGGCTTCATATGATCACTATCCTTAAATAAAATCCAGTTTTTTGGCATGATCAGTCATATTTTCAATGTCATTGCCAAAACTTCACGATTTCTGCCAGGGTATGAAAGCTTTTGAGCACAACTGTAGTGTCCTGTGAAAGGAAAAGTCGTGTTTCATTATCATTATTGTTACAGTAAAACAATTCTTTTTATGAGTGGAGACAAAAATTTAGTTTTTGGCCATATTTTCTTAGATAATTTAACCACTTGCCCTCCAGAGGATTTACCACCCTTCCTGACCAGCCCATTATCTTGCGATATGGTACTGAGTTACTTTAACTGACAATTGCGCAGTGATGCAACGCTGTACATAAATTAAATTTATTTCATTTTTTCCCTCACAAATAGATATTTATTTCAGTGGTTTTCAATCATCTCTGTGTTTTTTATTTTTTGCTTGTTTTTTTAAACAAAGAGGCTGACAATTTAAAAAAGAACAATATTTTCATGGTAAAAGATGGATTGCGCCGCGCTCCTATATATTAATATATTCAACTTATACTTCTAAGGTAAATATCGATTTCAATTTCAATGTCAATGCTTGTGACTTGTGGCTATAACACTAAACATATATAAAAATATACATATAAGTGATATACATAATAAATCCTAAAGTGATAGTGCCTTAATGGGTACCATGGTATAAAACCATATTGCACCTCTATATTGCTGTGATCACTCTATTCACATTGTGCAAAAACATATACAAATTGTGCACGTGCTTATAAAAAGTAAATAAAATTATATATAAAGTCTTCCAAAGTAAATGTGCAAGTGAATTTTCTGTTCCTTCTTGTGACTTCATCAGGGTGAATTTGATTTGATCAAATTGATCAAATTGGATCCAATCAAATTCACCCTGATGAAGTCACATGACCCTGTGACGCAACAGCTCATGTGTGTTTAGTGTTATAGCCACAAGTCACAAGCATTGACATTGAAATTGAAATCGATATTTACCTTAGAAGTATAAGTTGAATATACAGTATTAATATATAGGAGCGTGGCGCAATCCATCTTTTACCATTCATACACACTAGTAAGTGAGTCAGTGTAAGTGCCAGCGCACCTTATACACTTAATAAGAAGATTTTACTATATGTTACTTATTGAACACCTCGATTCATAATAGCTCACAAGAATTCACTATTTATATCCAACAATATTTTCATATTTTTAACTTTTTGCTATAAAACAAATCCAATAAAAAAATTAAAAAAAAATAAAATGTCTTCATAAATTTAGGCCAAAATGTATTTTGTTACATGTCTTTGCTAAAATAAAAAACCCAATAAGTGTATATTAATTGGTTTATGTGAAAGTTATAGCATCTACAAATGGCGGTATATATACAGGAATTTTTTTTTTTTTTTAACTAGTAATGGTGGCAATTATCAACTTATAACGGGATTGCAGGACTGCGGCGGGCATTCTTACACTGGGTGGGAACTGACTAGCTGCCACTGACATCTCCAGTGACACTAATACAGTGATCAGTGCCAATAAAAAGCACTGACACTGTACTAATGACATTGGGTAGGAAGGGGTTAACATCTGTGGTGATGAAAGGGTTGACTGTGTGTTAGGGAGTGATTAGATTGTGTACTGTTGTGTTTTACTAAGGAGACTTGCTGCATTCTATCTCTCTGCTGTGCAGACCTGGTGACTGACATCCCCAGCAGCCAATAGCTGCGCGGGTAGGGGGACGCATGCACAAGGGGCCCCTACCTGGAAAATGCGAAATCACGTATATTTACATTATTTTGCACAGCACAGCCACCCTGTAGCAGTACATCTGCTATAGGGGGCAATCGGAAAGTGGTTAAAATAATTTGTTTGAATAAATGTCTGTTTTTACCATGATGGCAACCATACTTCAGTGCCTAGGAAAGTGGGGTTAAAATGGTCAGTATGAAAGAAAGAATTACCTTTGTCCCCCTTATGTTCTGCCCCCCTCTGTTGCAGTGTTTGGATCACTAGCACTGCTCTACTGGCAGACTGGTTATAGTTAGAGAGTGGAGCTAGAGGAAGAGTTCATTGGGGGAGTGATCCAGTGAGAGAGATGCAGGGTAGCTGCATCCTTGGGCTTCCATTGTTTTTGCTTCCCTGTTCTTTCCACTAGGCTCTGCTGGAAACAGCATTCTCGGTATCATGCTTGAAGATTGGGTTTAGACTGCACTAAGAAGTTTGAAGCCATTACATTGTGCCTTTTGTACCATTCCATAATTTCGAAGTTGTAATGTTTTGCTAACCAAGTAAAAGGAACAGCTTATGGCTGCATGTGTTGTTATTTATAGAGGATGCCTGTGTGTTCAAGAGTCAGCATGTGAAATTGTTACATTCTCTCCTAATATGCTTAACTGGTAATAGCCACAGTGTTCCAAATGATTTGGTACAGAGAAAAACCTTGTAAATTCAAGAACTGTAGGTGGTTAGCTGAGAAGAGGTCTACCCTCGCTAGACACAGGTCAGGTGACTTGGGCCCCATGACACACAGGACTCAGGTGTGCAGTCAGACTTTGAGCCCTAGCATGGAACCACATGAAAATGCAAGGCCTTGTGAGTAAGTCCCTGCCAATGGGTTTGATACTTCTATGGTCCAGGGGGATGGCATTGTGGGGTTTTGAATTCACCATTTGTTCACATAGGAGCAGACAGTGGAGGTCTGTGTTGGGGTCCTGAGCCAGGAATGGGCACAATGTCCTAGCCCTGTACCTGTAGCTTGCTAAATATAGTAGTATAGTTGGCATGATCAGTTTTCTGGCATAACATGGCACTAATGGGAGTTGGGAAGATCCTAAAAGATTCTAGAATACACTGAAATTGACTAGAAGTTGGTTGGAAGGAGCTGGTGTGCGATCTCGTGTCTGTGATTAGCAATGGCTGAACTTCATAAATGAAGGCTTGGGCACAACCAGAAAGGCCTTGGCAGTTGTATTTACCAGGCCCTGCAGTGGCATTGGTTAGTAGTCTGAGATTTGTGCCACTGAAAGGTTATGCCCTTTGCAGCCAGGCGATGTCTGTCTCTCTTACCTCGTGCCTGAATGTGACCAGGTAATTCCAGCAGTGTCTCTGTGGACAAGGAGTAGTTTCTGCAGTGCTTTCTTGTTCAGCCTG